AGGAGAACTCATGACCCAAAGTCATAAAAGCAAAGAATGTTAGGGGGAAGTCAGGGTCTGCCTGTTCCTGAGCTGAATCTGCCAGGCTAAAGGAAGGAGTAGCGGGGAAGGCACCGCAGGCAGAGATGATGGCATGGGTAAACACTGACAGGTACTGCTTACGAGGCAGGAAGAGGTGGGCAGGAACCGGCAGCAGGAGTCAGGCAGAGGAACCAGATCTGACAGTGTAAGTTATACAGTGTAGGCTATAGGTGACTCTTAGAAGATTTTAACAAATCAGGGGCCCGTGACCACTCAAGAGAAGGGGCCATAAGACCCTAGCATACCACAGCCTGCTAATACTTTTCCACCCCTACCCTGGCTGTACTACAGGAGCTCTGGAATCCCTGTTGGGGAGCTAGAGGCTGAGTTTCAAGGAACTGGCTGATGGCCTGCCTGCTGGGACCCAGAGCTCAGCTCAGGCCCAGGAGCCTTCTAGGAGTATGGGAGGTGTCGTTGTCGTGGCGGTGGCTGTTATGTTCCAGGTGTGGGTGGCCAGTATGTGTGTGTGCCTGCTGTGGAGCCCAGCCTGTGAGTTCTGCCTGGGCACATAAGCCAATGAGGCAAACTCAGCCCTGAGCGGGGATCCCTCAGCAAAGTTGACAACCCATACCTACAATTGGGAATCCCTGCGCCCTACCTCAGGAGGGCACCAGCTGGTCTGTGGCTGTGTGTGTGTGTAGGTCTTAAAAATCTTGCTTTCCCTGCTGTGGAGCACCCATTCACATCTTCTTTCATTCTCCTTGGAACTTTCTGAGCTCCTGTCAGATCAGTTTGGAGAGCATCAGACCCTTGGTTGAAGGGGATCCTGAGGCTCTGGCCAGAAGGAATGTGCCAAGAATGCTCAGCTGAGGCCAAGACTCTGTCTTATCAGTCCCCACCCCACCCCCACATTTTGGGAAACTTGGAGAAGGGAGGTAGGAGCCAAGGTCCTTCTCAAATTGGGATCCCATTTTGGGCTGAGAGGAGGGCTGAGGTCATTGTGGGGGGTACCTCAGGCAGGACTGGGCCAAACCTAGGCTCTCCCAACAGCTGCTTGTTCAGCAGCTGCCAACCAGGGGAGAGGCAAGGATCTCAGGCTGGCTTCCCAAGAACAGCCTAATTGCTAGCCGAGGCAGGAGAGTGGATGACAGGACAGAGAAAGGCAGGGGCTGGCCCAAGGTCACAGTAGGCTGTTGGGCCGGCAGGCTAGGATAGAGCGCTCCGGGGCCAGACCGGCTGGGCAGGTGAGCCACGCCTTGGAGGACGCGCTGCCTGAGGCGTCTACCTTCTCCCGCGCATAGCCCACCCTGTTTCTCCTGTAGCCAGCCAACCTCCAGTTTCCCTACCCACAGTGTCAGTAGAGGTGGTGACGATGTTGTCACTCTTCCCTGTTGTCTCCCTCGAGGTCTTTCCGCGCTCGATCATTTCCGACCGGTCAAGCCCTCTTAATGCTCGGCAGCTAGCACGAGGCCAGTACTCTGCCGCGTGCCGGCGCAGAGCTGGTCGGGGGCGGAGAGCCGCGCTTACCCCTGAACGCAGAGGACCATGTCACGGCAGCGGCAGCGGCTGCTCCGGAGCTGGGGCTCGGCCTAACGGCGGCTGCTGGAGGGAGCCAGTGGGCGCGGGTCGCGCTCGCAAAGCAGGCTCCTGGGGAGCGCGAGCGGCGGGCCGGGACTGAGA